TGAGACGAGGATCAATAATATCCAAACCATTTTGTCTAATTTGGCCTGTAATTTCTCGAATCTGAATTTTTCTACTCGAAAAAACCCTAAAATTCAAAATTGGGTCCAAAACGGGGGGTTTTGCAAATCTTCATCAAATCTTGCAATTGAGGTGTCCTTGGAGGTCGCCCGGATGCCACGACCGCATTGGAGTTGGTGCCCGCTGTCAATTTCGCCGGATTTCGCCGGAAAACGCTCCGAGCCCACAAGACGAAGAGAATGACATTGGTCCCGCCGGAATCAGAAAAAGTTCATTTTCCGGCGACTTTGACCGGCGGGCGGCGGCGGCGGGGCGTGGAAGAAAAGAAAAGAAGAAATGGGGTCAAATTGAAAATTTTAAAATATATAAAATTCGAATTTGGCCCTAATGACCGGAAGTTAACCTAGAAACGGGCTAATGGCTCATTAGTGAAAGGATTGTGTAAGTTCAGGGATTTTTGTGAAAGGATTTGAAGTTCAGGTACCACTTCGAAATTCCAGCTAAAGTTCAGGTACCATTTGTGAAATTTACCCCAAAAAAAAGGGCTAGCAATGGCATCGATGTATCTTTGAAGGAAAGAAAAAAAACAAAAAAGTCCACAACACATTAATTTTTGAGTTTCCCTATTGCAGGCACTTCTGTTGGACATAGAACCAATTGACGCATTCTACACAAGGATGACCTAGCCACGTCCCTCATTCAGAAGGCCAGGTCTAAGGGAGTGTCACTGTTCCTTCCTCCTGATGTTATGGTTGCTGACAGGTTCTCTACTTTTGGAAAAACATATTTGAAGGAAAGAATATTCGCATGATTTAATGAATTAAGAAAATATGATGTGAATTTCAAAGAGTTTTAATCAAATTTGAAATTCCAACATATTCTCCAAGGTAAAAACCAACCCTAAAATTTTTGCTTTCTAGACACAACCAAAGATTATCATTCCTTTTGAGTATTGAGGTGCAAATTAAATGATGAATGATAATGGTTGTGATTAATCACCTGGTTAGGGCAACTGCAATACCAGATGGCTGGATCGGGTTAGATGTTGGAAATGATACAATCAAATATTTCGGGAAGCTTTGGATGCCACCCAAACCATTCTTCTCCAACTGGTCACGTCTCATAATTACTCCCACACTTCTACTAATTACGGATCATGATTAGCATGTACGAAGCTTGTACGGTAAGAATGAAAATTCTTTCTCTGGAGGGATCAAACTCTCTTGTTATACGAAGAACAACACAAAACTTTATCCACAATTCCATCTCCAAAAATAACAACTTGATAATACCCCCGGTTCACCCCTAACATTTGGTATCAGAGCTCAGCTTCGACGACTTTCTTAAGTCTCGACGACTACCCGGAGGACCGGCGACGCAAACGTTGCACTAGCAAAGTTTCTGAAAAATTTCCTCAACTTTTCAGCTCCAAAGATTTGATCACGGAGGAAGGTACACAATTGATTTTAAGGTAAAACTTTCCAGTTTGGGAGTGTGCTCTTTTATATACGTCTGGCCGCTAATTTCACTCAATTCCGACTTACGGTTTGGGAGATACGTCCATTCGAAGTCAAAGACGCGATTCTGCCAACAGTCTGGCTACCTTACTCATTTGACCTCCAACGAAGCATCAAATGATTTTCAATGTTTTTTTAATTTTTGATATGTCTTTAAGGATTTCAATATCTAACTCCGAGAGTTGGAATTACATCATTCCGATCTCTAGTTGTTGAGATATGGATGTCCAAAGATACCTCAAAAATCTGGAGATCATCTACGCCAATGAGGCTATCTTGCAAGGGCCAACTCAACGGTGCTACAAGTGTTGTGGCTATGGTCATATCTACTGGATATTCCCAAATGAACATGTCGTACCATATGAAGAATGGGCCAAGATTAATGAAGAAGCTTCATGTTATATCTCGGCTCCGAGTTTGTCGGTATTAAGCTCGGATTTAAGGAACAAGCTCCCCGTTTTGCGGGAAGGGTGGATAATCGATTGTCAAGTGATTCAGGTTCTCAGGAGGAGCTTCAGAAGTTTAGGAGAAGTAAACAATCGATTTACAAAAAGTGACAATCGATTATGGAAGGCTGCAGATTTTCTGGGAATGAGTGATAGTCGATTATCTTAAAGGGATAATCGATTATTACTACCTGCAGATGTTTCCAATAGAACTGATAATCGATTGTGGGGAATGATAATCGATTATTTGGCAGTGATTCTGGACAGGAAGAAAGGCGTTTTTGTGGGGAATGGGTTGGAAATATATGGGGCAAATGAGGGAGTTCTTTTGGGTATTTTAATTGAAGAAAAGGGTAAGATTAAGAGGAGAAATGGAGAGGTATGAAATGGGAGAAAATCAGGGATGGATAAACCAAGTTGGTGTTTAAGAGATATTACACACTCTTATCCTAACTTGGGGTTTGAATCTAGAATTTAATTAAGATATGACACACTTAATCAAATATCTAGAACCTAAAACTCACACTTAAGATAACCACTTCTTAAGATATAGAATTAGGAATTT